AACCCCCGACCCCCCGACCCCCCCGAACCCCCGAACCCCCGACCCCCCGACCCCCCCCCGACCCCCCGACCCCCGAAACCCCCCGAACCCCGAACCCCCGAACCCCCCGAACCCCCGAACCCCCGACCCCCGAACCCCCACCCCCAACCCTCAACCCTCAAACCCTCGAACCCTCAACCCTCAACCCTCAACCCTCAACCCTACCCTCAACCCTCAACCCCCTACCCTCAACCCTCAACCCTCAACCCAACCCTCAACCCTCAAACCCTCAAACCCTCAAACCCTCAAACCCTCAACCCTCAACCCTCAACCCTCAACCCAACCCTCAACCCTCAACCCTCAACCCTCAACCCTCAACCCTCAACCCTCAACCCTCAACCCTCAACCCAACCCTCAACCCTCAACCCTCAAACCCTCTAAACCCTCAACCCTCAACCCCTCAACCCTCAACCCTCAACCCTCAACCCTCAACACTAAACCCTCAACCCGAAACCCTAAACCCGAAACCCCGAAACCCGAAACCCTGAAACCCTTAGAATCAACATGGTTAATAGAGTTGAATGGCCAAAGTGGAAAAAGGAAAAAGCACAAGTTGAGGGGTAAATATAAATTGAACCCAACTTTTGGGAATTTGGAGAGGCAAGGTTGTTTGTCAGTTGTGACTTGTTCCGGAAGATGAAATTCCAATTAAAATAAAATTATGAAAATATACAAATTTTGTTACTTGGGTAAATTATATATTTTATCCCATTAAGTTTGAGTACAATTATAATTTTTTATATTTGTGAAACAATTTAATTTCATATTGTATTTTTATTTCATTGCAATTTCATACAGTAAATTAATCTATTAAGTGATAATATAGCACATATAAAGTTCCTGTGTTTTGATGACGTGACGATAAAAAGAATCGAATATTAAAAAAGGCTTAAATACTAAATTAAAACAAACCCTAAACCAGTCTGCTTGCTCCAGTGACCCTACATTTTAAAAAACCAGCAAAGTTATTTTCAAAAGCACAATTCATGGCGATGGGTACGAAATTGAAATGCGGAGGGAGTTGAAGAGACCAGCGTAATATACCTAACCTCACCCACATCTCCCTCCTCCATATTATTGTATGCGGAGACCAGCGACCCATTTGAGGAGGGCTCGTCTTTGGCGAGCTTCTACATCACCTGAGTCAGCGCCGCAAAGTTGCCGGATCGGACAGCGGAGAAGAATTATTGGTGGGTTAAGAAACGCATGGAATTTGATTCCATCGTGATGGGCAGCTTCTCCTGGTACTTGCCCAGTATCTGCAGATAATTGTAGAATTCTTCTGTGTCTTCCAGCTCATTGCGATGCCCCATCGTCCTGAGGCCGATGACTGGGAAAATGAAAGGAACTTGAGCCGACTCCGTCGCGAAAGGATGGAGCGGTGGTGAAAATAGGATCTAGGGCTTTTGGAAAGAGAGGATTTTCATTGTTTTTCATTTTATTTTGGGTTCTAGTTTTTCTGTTTTGTTTAGTTTATGTTTTTTTTGTTTTTTTTCAGTTTTATTAGTTTTAAATCCTTTTAAATTTGGTTTTTTATTATTTAATCTATGTCGCACGTATATTGTGGGATTCGCGGCGTCCACATAAGCCGGTAACATAAATTTTAACAAATTTTTTAACATGGGTATGAAATTAAAACGAAAGAATAAATAATGTATAAGCTTAAAATATTTTTAAAATGTTACATCTGATAGACTGCAATTACCCTCAAATTTGAATGGATAAAATGTAATTTCCCCCTTTTGCAATATACGGAAAGGGAATCTTGAAAGTGGAAAACTAGCGAACAGCCTTGAAGGCTTGAGGATAAGGCTTGTCTGGCCCGTCCACAATCCACGTACCGATTGAGTTCGATTCACATTAAACAAAATCTAACCACTCTTGTCTCTCTTAACCCCAACCAATTAACCAAATCTCTCTCCCTCTCCTCCTTCTCCCGCTTAGAGAGAGAGAAAGATGGCAGCGGCGGCAGGGGTTGGAGTTGGTGGAGGTGATGTTTGGAGGGCACATGCGGCCATGGCAGCGGTTCAGCTCTTCAGCGGAGGATATCATGTAATTACCAAAGTAGCCCTCAATGTTGGCGTCAACCAGGTTGTATTCTGCGTATACCGGAACCTCCTTGCACTCGCCATCCTCGCTCCCGTCGCCTATGTCCGTGAAAAGTAGGCGCTTCTCTTTCATTTATTTATCTGATTTTATCAATTTCCTCACATTGCATCATCCATTTTATACTCACATGCTGCTCATGTGATCATTTACTCATTGTGTCGTGTGGTGTGGGTTGGGGAGGGTGTGTTGGAGTGTATTGCATGCTCAGACCATGACAGTTATTAGATTATAGTACAAGAGACTCCAAGACTGGTTATTTAGCTTGATTTTGTCTAATAATCTATTATCGATGCAGTTAACCTATCATGTTGGAAATTAATTATGCAATTGAATTAATCTTCTTCATCACTGTCCTGTCCTGTGCACATGAATCATGATGATCACAACATCCTCTAACATTTCTCTTCTCTTGTATGTATTGCATTGCAGACAGATTCGACAACCAATGAATAGACACCTCTTCATGTCCTTTTTCTTTCTTGGGTTAACTGGGTAACACAAGATACTACTTTATGGCCATATTCTGATTACTTATAATCTACTGCTACAATTGATGCAGCACAGCACCCCCTTGACATTTGCTGCTTCTTTATATGAAATAGGATCTTTGGCAACCAGCTTTTGTTTCTTATTGGTCTTGGCTACACAAATCCAACTTATGCTGCGGCCATACAGCCTGCTATCCCAGTTTTCACGTTTATCCTTGCTGTTTTAATGGGGTCAGTTTGAATTTTTTCGACTTTTATCTACTTAGGTTGGTGCTATGCACCCGTATATCTGTCTATACTTAGAGATAAACACATTTTCATGTTTAACTTGCACGAGATATTGCTTGTTCAATATCATATGTGAACTTGTTCATGCAGTACAGAAAGAGTGAACTTGCTTAGAACTGAAGGGCAGGCCAAGGTTGGTGGTGCACTTTTATGTGTTTCTGGAGCCATATTAATGGTCTCATTTCGTGGACCTCCTTTGATTGGATATACAGAACCAGACTTTGCAGCACAGAGCGAAATAAGTGCCAAAGGTCAACCAGAGCCAGCTGGATGGTTGATGTCTAGCTTTCTAGAGTTTGGGCTAGATCATTTTCATCTTGGAGTTTTATGCTTATTAGGGAACTGTATGTGCATGGCCGCTTTTTTAGCCCTTCAGGTGCATGAATATATACTCTTTATCTTTATTTGTCGAATATAATTATCTCATTTATTTCTTAAGTGTGTGATTTTTCTTCTTTTAAAGTGCTACTGGAGCTTGTTTGGTGCTACTGTTTTCAGTTTATTTGTGTATATAACTTTTTCATTCTCCATTTGTCATTCTTATGTCCCCTTCTCCCATTTTATTCTTCTTCTACCTGTCTGTCGATAGAAAATAAGAAATTTAATTTAATAAAAAAAGGGAAGAAATGGTGGACAAGAATTCCATGAAAACTAACCTGAAGAATACCGAAAATTATCTTAGCAAAAAGACAGTCCAAAAGAAGCCAAAACTGCACGTCGCCAAAGAGTAGTAGCTTCGTAGCACCAACTCCCTAAACTCTACCCTTCAAGAGAAACTGTTTCTCAGACAAACCCACTTTACTTTGAATGCGATTTTTAACTGTTTCCTCCAAATAAAGGTAGTAGCCTCCTTATGCAAAACATAACAATGAGAAGAGAATGAAGCATAAATACTTTCTTGAAGCATACCGCAACTAAGCAAGAAATTGTAGAATTATATTTGGACATTAGTGGACTTTAGTGGTACCACTTGTCTTGTACCAATTATATTTCTTATGGACATAGGCAAAAGTTTGTTAAACTACGTAACTCTCATGCAGAGAATTCCTTGTGAATTGTTGCATGGTGTGCTTTTCCTTATGACAGTAAGATTTCAGTTCGCACCTGCAAAACATTACCCATCACTCTGTACTCTACTTCAAATGATAAGAGCGCCACCATAAGTCCAGCTCTTGAGGGTAACTCCATAACCATTTTCCTAACGAGGCCTTCTTTTTTAATGACTTTGCAAACTTTGCAATAGCAAACTTCGTCTATCCACAACTACTTTCCTGACAAGGCCTTTTCGTTTCAATTAATTTCCAATAGCTAGCTCAAATCTATCTTTTGATCTCTATTCAACATCTCTCCTGCTTCCCCTATTGCTCCTTTCTCAAAGGAAATCCCACATCTACTTTTCTAACCTTCACCATCTTACTTGATAATTTTGAAATAGAAATGAAGAAGGTAGGAGGCCTACCCAAGATAAACTTATTTCAGTTTATGTCCATATGTAGTGTGCTTGGACATGCTTATATCTTATCATATTTGGGGAAATTAGGATCAGGGTTGCAAATTATTGGGAGTTTGTGAAGTAGGGTTTTAGAAATTAAGGGAAAGGTTAAATCAAAGTTCGTTGCTAGGTAGGATCAGGGTTACATTGACTACTAGCTCTGCAATCCTAGAGATCACTCCTATAGATAGAAAGCATCAGATTTTACTGTGTATTAAGTCCTTGCTTCCTTGACATGCCTAATTTGCTGATTTTTTGGGGGAATTTTGTGACTCCTTCGTGTTATGCCCTATTTTGCTTGTCCTAGATGTTCCTCCCAATTCCTTAAGCCATCGTTAGAATTAGCCATTGCTCAAAGTAGGTGCATTCTAACTATTGTACTGAGAGGAGTTTGACCTTCAATTCATCTTTGTTGAAAATGGTTGTGTAACTTGTGTATGCTTTCATTCTTTTGAATTATTACATTACTTGAAGGGTAAAATTCTTACATTGTTTGAAGGGTAAAATTCACTGTGGTTTCAAAACTAACTTTGCTTCCTACGATTTGCTCTGGTTAAACATTGTACATTGACATGACAATTCATATTGAGAGTGTGGTAGACTGACCTTTCATTGGTGCATAAATTTTTACTCAACCGCTAGGATACCCACATATATATAGTTATCATATCATGCGTTTCTATTTCTGATACCTTTATACTTAACATTTCATAACTTTCAGGCTCCACTTTTGAGAAGATATCCTGCCAACCTGTCAGTTACAGCATATTCATTCTTCTTCGGCGCACTAGTTGATGGTGGTTACTACATTATTTATGACAAACGAGTCAACAGACTGGAGCTTGACACACTCTGAGCTTTTTGCTGTTATTTACGCTGTAGGTTACAAACTAGTGATATATGTAGCCCAATCTTTTGTTATCTACAAAATTTCATCAGCTCTCTTAATTCGTTCTGTCTACAAAGAAGAAGGTTGACTGACGTGGTTTCATACTTGATGTACTAGTGATTTAAAAGATTAGAAACCATATATTTTGATGAAAACCCTTTGCGGCATATTCAACAGATAAGAGAGCACTTCTCATAAAATTCTAGAAAGACCATCATGTCATCTTGATGATAAAGATCTTGTTCTCTGTCTACAAGTTTTATGTCAAGTAACTTTACTGCAAATTTTATATCTGACAGTCGATAATAATGCTATTAACATTTCTTTTCAGTTTTCTCCTCTGTGATATGATTTTTCTAATATAGCTAATGTGAATAAATATGAAGATGGGCACATTTTATATGGCCAGTTCAAAGTCGGTTCAATTGTTACTCATTGGTTTTCAGGGAACTGTTGCATCTGCCCTTAATTTTGGATTGCTGACGTGGAGCAATAAGATTTTGGGGCCTGCTTTGGTTGCTCTTTACAATCCACTTCAACCTGCAGCTTCGGCATTTTTGTCAAGAATTTTCCTTGGAAGCCCAGTTTATTTGGGAAGGTTTGCTCACATCCAGTACTTGATTAATTGTGGCCAAGCTGGCGTTTTGTTGGAGTGATGCTTATTTGGTCTCCATTTTATGAAAACAGTGTCTTAGGAGGAATACTAATTATTGCTGGTCTGTATGTGATAACTTGGTCGTCTTTGAATGAAAGACAAGCAGCTTTGGAAGTCGTTATACCTCACGTTGCTCGGGTCTCAGAACCTCTCATCCAGAAAGATACAACAATTAACAAGATACCATACCAGAGAGGACTGATTCTCTCAGGGCCTTCCAGTTCAGTACCAAAATCGGACATGTGATGGGAATTTGGAGAGTAAACCAGTTGAGGAGAATTGCTCAAATTATCGATCCTTGTTTAATTTGTCTGAAATTGTTTTTCCTTAGTCGTGTTCTTTATTTATTTGTATTTTATTTGAGTCCTGCTCCATGAGGGAAGAGGATCCTCTCTGGATCCATTTTGTGAGGATCTTAGGGATCCCCACATCTTAGCCGTTTATCGTACATTATGCAGTTAGTTTTCATCATGTATTATTGGTGTTTAATTTTAAATAAAAAAAAGTTAAATGATTTCTGATCGTACGATATATGATGAATGGTTAAGATGTGAGGATCTTTAGGATTCCTACAATTTGGACCCAGGTGGGATCCAAATCCTGAGGACCGTATTAACCACAATATTATAGTAATCTAGATTCAGAGGTTTAAAATATTTGACCACTTAATAAAACAAACAAGAAAATGAGTTTTCTAATGGTTTTTGAGTTTTATGTTGAATTTGGTTTACTAAGTTGTCAAATATTTTAAGTTTTTGGAATAATTATTTATTACTGTTGCAGTCATATTTAGAATAGAAATGTGATTGTGTAAATCCTAGTAGATATGGGAATGTATCTTACATTCCTATTAGGAGTAGATTACCTATTAAGAGTTGTAATCCTAAAGGGAAAAGTTTTTACCTATCCTACTATTATAAATAAAGGCACAATGGGTGGAATAAAATACACTCACAATTACACATATCTCTCCTTCTCTCTTTATGCCGCACCTTCTCTTTCTGGCCTCCATAATTGTTCAGTAAATTATGCCTACAACACATTATCAGCACGCTCTTGACGCTATGCTAAAGAGAGTTTATTCTTCAATCAGGGAGAGTATTACGTTTTAATCATTTTTTTATGATTAATTTACTATTTTATTAAATTGATCTACATGCTATTGATTCAATTTAATTTTTCTGTGTTGAACGTGATACAACACAGTGAAGATACAATTCTAGCTTTCCGAGAAGATCTTCTACAAATTCAAAGGTTTTTGCCGTTTTCTGCTAATCATGTACGCTTAAAATAAAGAAAGATATTTGAAACATCTACGAAGCATGAAAACATTCTCCATGATGCATGAACCCCCCTATGTTTACATTTTCCTTTCGATATATATATTGTATATGTTCATATATTTTTCAATATATATATTTGTTTCATGCATTGCACAATTAAATTGTTATGTGGAATTTGTGAGTCAAATTATATAAAATAAATTAGAAGCAATTAGGGTTTTTCAAACCCTAAGATTGTCAAAAAAAGGAAAGAAAAAAAGTTTAAAACTTTTGGGAAAATTTTTGTGGCTGAACCCAGCCTCGAAACACACCGAGCCTGAAGCTTGGGTATGTGACTCGACTGTTTTTTTTTTTTTTTAGGCTTAAATTAGACCAAGCCTGCAACTTGGGTCCACTGGTGCATGGGCTTCAAGCCCCCTGTCAGTTCCAGAAGCCAGCAAACTTGATGGGCTTCTTGCACCTCAGCCCATCGCTAGTAGCCTTTGTGCTACTGGGCCTTCCTCCAGCTCGGTCTGCTTTCAACTGCAAGCTTGCAGCTAGCTTTGTACGCTAGGCTACACCGCAGCCTTACCCAAGCCCAAAAGCAGCCAAGTTTTTTTTTCCTGCTTTGATGGGCTGTTCATCTCAGCCGTGGCCCACCCTTGCAGCCATGACCCGAAACTAAAGGCCTATAATTTTTTACAGGGCCATGTATTGCAGCCAACCAAAGTGTGTTGGGTTGCATCCCTTTTTCGACCCAATGTTATTTTTGGCATTTTAAATAATTTTAACCTGAATGTTATTATTATTTTTGCTTCTATGATCAACCCCATTTGGTGTCAATCTATTGAATTAATTAAAAGTGACATGCAGTCCATTAATCTGATAATAAATCCAAAATTATTGACTTGAAGATCACTTTTGGACATTAACGATTTAATAATTGATTTTTATACTTTGAACCATCACATACTTTCGTAGTAACGAATCTCTCACAATTGAGTTCTTGAAGAAACTCAAATCCACTATACTTAAATCAACATATTGCATTCTGTGTTTCTTACAGGAACCTCTCATTATGAACTAATTGTTCATAAAACTAAATTGAACCTGTAGTTTCAAATTTAGTGCATTTGAAACCTGAAGTTTTCATAAAACAATACATCCATAAAAACCCGATGTTTTTCATGAAAACCATGTCTTAGCACTCGAATGTTCTAACTTTGATGCTTATGGTTGATTCATTCTCATAGCACTAATCACAATCTTGTTCCCTCCAATTCAGTGGATTATCGAACTGTAACAAGTTTGATTTTCCTGATATGGATGTTTCTAATAGAAACCACATTATGTGGGTACGAGACGTGAATCTCTACTTGACTATCAAGAAGCTGAGAAACCATTGAAGCCAATAATGGCAAGGAAGAGATGAATAAGGTTCACCATGATCTTCATTCGAGGACTTATGCCCGAAGTATTGTCAATGGAAATAGCTCTCGAACGAGGATTCCATGACTCTTTGGCTCGCTCCTACAAACCGTGTGATCATGCGGCATATTGCCCGAAGCACACCATGATTACGTCCATGGATGAGTACAATTCTGAAGTTTATAAATTTGATCGAATTTTGACTGGAGAATATTTTTCTCGTCCTTCCATGTTTTTAACTCACCCCTAAAGCAACAGTGTAGAAAGCGAAAGTTTACCACATTCTCGGATCTGATTACTACCATAAATATATGGTAGAATCAGGGTCTGCCAAGGTGTGGCATCATGTCCAAAGCGTGATCCTTGGCACCTAAGGCCTAAAACTTCAAGAATAAGGGATAATATTCCCAAACCTTAACCCTGCAAAATCTTTTTCCATCTTAATGGAATAGATCATTGGTTATGCACCTGTTCGTGCCCCTACCAATGTTGTTAAAGAGTACCATTCTAATAGTCGATATGTGAGACTAATTTTTGCTCCACCAAACACCGTTGGAAGAGGTGAATTTTGACATGGATGGCCTTGTTGGCCGAATCCCTTTAGTAAACCATTTACTTTGTGAACATTATTCCATGTTCTTGAATTCAAGTTTGGTGTATGTTTTACTTATGGATAATCTTATTGATATTGTCCTCGAATATGAGTTAATTGAATCATGTTTCTTAATACATGTGACCGATTCAATTAAACACGTGATTAGGTTGGAATGTCGGAACGTTAGTTGTCTGGATTAATGCGTACTACGCACACTAATCACATCTCTAACAAGGACTTCAGGTCTATCCAACCTAATTAAGAGCATTGGCACGCTCTTCATTGTATGAATGGTATTGCATCACCATTTAAGAGACCTTAAATTCTCCCTGACGTTGAGTTTTTAAGGATATTCGAGATGACAATGATCATAAATGAAACCATTGAAGAAAATAGAGTGAAATATCTTTGTACCACCTCCAAAAATGAGCCTGAAGCTTTGATTTGAGGTCAATGGGTTGTCTCCCAACTGGGAATACACCACATGTGGCCGGCCTGGAGCCTTGTGAATGAGCAGTTTACTTGCTTTGGCACGACCTTTTAGGACACTTAGGTCGAACACTGATGCTACAATGCATCTCCTTATCTGAAGTAAGGATATTGTGCCTACAAGCACACTTTGCCAAGCATACTCATTAAGGAAATTGATTTTCTATATCATTCCTCGTAAAGATACGACACCACTCTCTTTTAACAGTAGATTCAAGGGAATATATGTGGACTAATCCAACCAAAATACGGCCCATATAAATACTTATGGTTTTGGCTGATGAATCGACAAACTAGTCATATGTTTGTCCACATACATTGCTGCTAAACCTCATGGCCGATTATGGGTTCACCATTCTACTTATCCCTTAAGGTTCGGAAAACTAGATAATGCCGGAAAGTTTATATCAAAGGTTTTTCACTAAAGTATTGCATGTCGTTTTGGGTTTCTAATTGAACATCGAATTCCTATGTTCACCCCAAATAGCCTTACCTAGTGATCATAAGGCGCAATTTAAATGATCGCCCGAATTTTGGTTAACATGCCAAGTTTTCGGTTTCTGCCTAGGATTATGCAATCCTTGTACGCAGTTATGTTGGTCTGCCTTGAGGCCTATTGCCACCCAACCTATATGACGTTACAGTTGGTTACTGAGTACGAATCTGACGATTTTCGTATTTACGTATTTAGATGTGCATTCTATGTGCCAAGTTGCGCCGTCGCAACGTACCACCATGGGTCCTCAAAGAAGGATGTGTATCTTTTGTCGATCATGATTCTCCTTCACACTAGCTCTCTTAAAGCCCTTGCATACGATCTCTTTATCGCTCATTATGGGTTGTCACTTTAATGAGACAGTCTTCCCCCTGTTAGAAGGAGATAAGAACGTCAACGTTCTTGTAAAACAACGCGAATTTGCATGGACGTTACCCACTATGTCTCATCTTGATCTCTGTACCGTACATGTATGATAAGTAAGTGCAATGAATTCTAGATTTCAGAATGTTGCTCCGGACGCATTCCTCTGATCTAGCTAAAGTGACTAGATCATATACCAGTTGCAAACATGTCTGCAATGATAGACGTACTTAACAGACGTCGAGTCAATATCCCTGGAGGGTGTGCCGCCCTCGATGGACGGTTTGGAGCCCCTGTTGGACGGTCTGGTACATCAGCGGATAGCCAATTAATCTGTCATGGCCTGGAGCATGACAGATCATTCGGTTCGTAGGATTCAATTCCCTAAAAGAGGAAGACACAACACAACAATGAATCTAAACTCAATTGATGTCTCAAATCATTTCCATCTCATAAGATTAATCCGCATTTCTCCCGATACTTAAAGTTTTTGGTCCAGTATACTAGTTTGGATGAGCTAAATGGAATTGAAATGAGATTATCATCGATGATATTTTTCACTTATATGGTAGCTACCGACATAAATGAAAAATGACGATATCGAACCGTGTTCCGTTGATTAAGTGACAACATAGAACTGATTGGACAACTAAAGTTACAATCCAGGTCAAATTCCTTACCAAAGTGTGTTTTGGACCCGTAGTTCCTACACTGCCCAAGGTAACCCTGTTATGTTACAAGTGGGAAATGAAGCGTTATGAGATGAATGAAATAGTGTGATATGATGCATGCCTTATGGTGCAAGGTTTCTCTCAAACGTCATGTGATTGATAGCAGCATTATGAAATGTGGTTAATGTTTTCTCCATGGGGATATAGATA